GTCATTGTCTTTGTTTTTTTCGACATAAACATCATTGATAGAAGAAAATGTTACGTAGAGAGAAACCTAAGAGCTTAAAAATTTGGATTGGTAATAATTTGGTATGTAAGTTTCCAATTAAAAGAGGCCAGAGCAGACAACGACAACCAACATTACATAGCAACACCACTGTGGCCAAACTGAAACCAACAACCATGTAAACAGTACAACAGAAGGAGGCGGTACGAAGACCCAAACCGAAATCAAGGAAAACGACTTTGCACACTTTCCACTTAATAAGCGATAAATCGCTCTCACAATAGGTGGTTAATATAAGTTTCAGATTATACTTGTCAATCGAAAGCAGAAGCATAGGTGGCAGCCTGGTGTTTTGACAGAGAAGGGACGATAGGAGAGGAAGGATAACATGTCGGTTACTAGAAGAGGGGGAAAGAAACTGAAGCAAAGGCTATGGATTTGAGAGTCATTTGGGAAGATAAAAAAATGTGGCTTAAGAGAGCAAGCGTAAGATAGCTATAGAGAAATAGGTCTTTTAAGGAAAAGGTATGGTATACCTTACATTAGATTAGATCTTAGTTTATTAAATCTTTGACTAAAATTTTAACGATTAAAATTTTGATGTGTAAGATATTCGAAGCAGAGTAACAAATTTCAAAGATGGTTATAAATCTTCCATGCTTTGGATTCCCTGGTCTTGATTGTACATTGTTGAGGGGAAAAGAGAGCAAAAAAGGTAAACTAAACTTTGGGCAATGAAACGTGATGATGATTATATGAAATGACAGCATATTGCAAAATCATGGAGAAAAAGAGCTAAATCTTTGAATATATGGTTAAAGTGGCTTTTGCTGCTTTGCTTTTCTTCTACATTTCATTCTGGCATGAATTTTAAATCATAATTAGGAAATCCTTAAAATCATTTAAAATAAACGATAATTTCAAGGTTCCTGCAGGCTTGAATCTTGGCAGCTGCAGGCTATGTGAACAAAAATCAGCATATTCCATGACTAAGTAAAAGATAACAATCCAAAATTTGATCACATATATGCAGATATTTATTCAAAACCAGTAATTAATTAACATATGATTATCATCATTAATTTCCAGTCCTTAATCCAAAACCATAACCAGCAAACTTTCCCAACTGCAAATTAAAGAAACCACAAAAACTGATTTCACTTATCAAAAGGGAAGAGATAGAGAGCATTTCATTTGCTTGTTACATATATAAATTAACATACAACTTAGTTCTCAATCGGTCGACGTGGTGCTAGTCCAGTACTACTAGTACGTACCCTTCTTTCCTTTGCCTGTTCTTCTCCGGCTGGTGGTGGAGTGATCAACAACCTCATGCCGGAAATTCCCATCGTTCAAAATCAACGGCAGGTCGTTACAATCATCGCCGTCTTCTTGAGTGGTGATACGGATGCAAGAGCACCTTTCTAAAGATGCAAAGAAAGCATAACTGACACTGTGCATTAGCCACATAGCCACCCCATCAACCTTGCTACAGCCGTGTGATGAGCCGCTCGACGAGGACCGGAGTTTGGGCTCGACGGATGAACTACTTGACCGGAAACTGAAGAAGCTCGAGCATGTGGTGGCCATGGAGTTGGAAATGGAATTAAGTTTTGGTAGCCAGCCACAATGTGAGGGATGTTGAGAAGGCTATAGGCTTTAAGCATTTTCTCGAGGGACCTTCTTTAGGCTTGTGAATGATTACAAGTTGAAATTCCAATATATGCCCTCCAAGAATTATAGAATTACGAATGTGATATTGCAATTTGGTTCGCATTACTGTCCCTTCTGCCCTGTTGGGCCGTCTACAACTAGTGCAAAAATACAAAAATTAATAAGACTTAAACATCAATTATGATTTATGATTAATCTATGAATGCATCATACCAAGCGTATATATGATGTGATCTTCCTTCATTAATAAGTTAAACACCAAAAGTGTTAGTTAGTTACAAGCTAAATGGCTACTAGTACTAATTAAGGAAAAAAATAAGGTGAGTATATTGTCTAATACCTTTTTCTTGGATCATCAATAGAGGGGACGGTGAATTTGAATTTATGACATTTTAAAGAATTGAAATTCGAGTATTGTAGACCAAGAAGGCAAAAACTGGTTGACATATAGAACGTTAATTAGTACTTGAGTTCATAAAGGGAATTGTTATTAGTACTTCAAAAATCTCATTCTACACTTTTCACGAGTGTATTTTTCTTTCTAATTATAGAAAGTTTAGAGTGCAAAATAAAATTTTTGGAATGTCAATAACAATTCTTTTCACAAAAAGAGACTTCATCCCAGTGAGAGATCCAAGAAGACAAAGCCGAAGAAGATGTCCTCGCAACCTACCATGCCCAATGCCTAAAACCCAATTCTCTTTTAGGCATAGTAGCTATGCTCGAAGAGAATATCAAAGACGCATTGAATAATTTGATGTGTGGCGACTGGGATGAGATGTTGGTTCATATGTGTGCAACACTTATTCAGTATGTGTGTGTATGTGTGAAGGGTAGTTTTGTAAATTGCAATTGTAACCAAAAAATGTTTTTAGAGACTTTATTCGTTCAACGAAAATTTGTTACATGGTTGATAGGTGCTTGCAGCATGATATTTGATTGACAAAATAATTTATAACTAGGGGCATTCCCATTCTCCACTATGCTTGAAAATGTTAAAAAAAACAAATTAAGCATATTTTAGTGTAAATTAGTAATGAAAATCTCGATATATATAATAGATAGGAATATAAGGAGGAGGCTGCGAATATGTTAAAGAAAGGAGGAAGATAATGATGAGCGTCGAGTGCGTTTCATCATTTTCATTACTAGCTAGCTAGCTACCTAAAGCTAATTATTTGATAGAAAGAGATCGATCAAAGTCTCAAAAACATTTTTTTAAAGGAAATACTAGTGAGATTAAATTTTTTAAATTAAATTTGTAAACTAAATGATATGTTTATTGATGATTGTATTATTATTTAAATATTGATTAACGTGTTTATTTTTTTATTATTGACGCATCATTTGATTTACAAATTTGAATTAAAATTTTGATTTCTCTATCATGGGAAGATATGTTTTGTTATAAACCAAACCCTAAAAAAGTTAACTTTCGTGGTGTGTGTTGGGTACGTATGTGCATGCGCGCGCATGCTAGACAGAGAATCTTTCCTTGATATCCAAACAAATGCATGGCAGAATTGCTTTGCGATACAGTTGCTGCAGCAATTAGAAGATTTCTTACTTGCTGACTGGAACAAATAATAATTAGGTTAGCTAGGTTACTGAAGTGTCTTGGAGGTACTTCAATATTACCAGGAAAACAAGCCCCGGTGCAGCAGTACTCCAAAATCAATGTTTTCACTTTCTAGGCTAGAAATTGATGTATGTGTGCGTGAATAATAGGTGTCACTAGACAGTCTTGCATAGTCTAAAGAGAGATTTTTTATGTCATCGGTTATACACAATCATGTTTATATTTCTTAATACAATTATGTGCATGTCTCTTTCATCACGTCATTATTAAATAGTTTAGTCGACTTCAATGAAATATTTTTGAATGTCACCGATTGTTTATAATTATGTGACGATCTCTCTCAATACCTGATCACTAATTTAATAAACAAGAGAAACATGTGTAATTGTACATTTAAACAAGTAATTAAATACATCTGTTCTCATCATGACAATTCACTTCTCTTCGTCCATGAAGGCTCAATTTTGAATACTCCTGGGCTAGCTAGCCTGAAAGTTTCATTTCATACAGTTTTTAGAATTTAAGTCCATTCTTTACAGATTTGGATCCTCTCCTGAGTCAATGGAGATGATCCTTCTGACCAAGCATTGTGGGCCGTTGGATTTTCATCCAACGGTTATAATTATTATAATTTTAAAGAGATCATCTATTTGTAGTCGTTGGATAAAAATCCAACGGCCCACAATGCTTGATCAGAAGAATCCTCTCCATTGACTTAGGAAAGGATCCAAATCCATTTTTTACACCGCAATGTGCCAATGTTGTTCGTTAAGCGATGTGACCAATACTTTCCTAACCAATCATTCCCAAAGTACATAAAAATCTTGGTTATATGGTCTCAACCCAAGCACTGTGGTTTGAAGAAGATGTGATGCTGAAATATCCCCACTCTTTTGATTGATCAGACATCAGAACGGCAAATCTGTCACGAACACTTTGGTGACAATTTCAACACATATAATGCCTCTTTTTGGAAGATTCTTGTTTGTAATTTCAGAATTTTGACATATTTTCTGCGATCTGCATATCCAAATTTGGAGTGGTGGAGGGGACTGCCTTGTGTTTTGTTCCTATAGCTAAGTCCCTAAGTTTGGGAAGAATCCACCGACACTGTAGTTTGAACGTGAGCATAACGCATTATCACCTTAATCCAAGGGTTATTCAGTTATTGACACCGAGAGTTGACTCACCTAGTTGATTTTACCTAAAATTCGGATATGAATTTAAATAATAAAACATAGAAAGAAACCATACTGGTTCCAAAATATTCCTAAACTTGTATAATCAGAAAATCATAAAAATCATAAACCTAATACAAATGAACAGGAAATAAAATCCTAATATATATTGTAACTTTTATAAAACTATAACCAGAATAAGAAACCAAATCCAAAATCTTGTCAAACATCACGATAAAAAGAAAGGATTTTATCACAACAAAACAAAAAAAAATAATCACTTTAAAAGTAAAAAATACAATTTAAATCACCTACAAAATTTTCATAAGTTGTTTTCTTTTTCAGTTACAACAGTTTAGGGTAACAAATTTTGAGGTGAAATTGGGAAGAGAATTGGATAGATTTTTTAAATTTAGGTAGAGCCAATTGTCAGTTGGCACTATTGGCTCTGATCCAACCATGTAAACCTGTCAACGAGTCAGTACCCAATTGGTCCAATTGGACATGCAAAACGACCTAACAAAACCCCCCACTATAAATCTCCACTCGGTTCTCACTTCCCTTCACACTTTGTATTCCCCTTCTCCACAGAAACTCAAAACAAAAAAGAAGAAAAAAAAATGGCTAAATATATTATCACCTTCTTCACCATAGCTCTGCTCCTCAGTTTTCAACTCACAGCCTTCGCTGCTCGTCCAGTCCCTGCTGCTTTCACCAACAACGCTCTCAAAACCCAACACCAAGTAAGTTGTTTTAATTGTTTTAATTTCAGGCGTCCTCTAATAACCATTTCATTTTGTTTTTGTTTCACCTTTTCGAAAAGATTGTGGTTTTCTAAAACTCAAAAAGTGAAATGGTAATCAAACGCTTTCTAAATTTACTAAATCTACTATTCTTTCATTAAGTTTTGTATCTTAATATTGTTTTGTTTTGTTTATGTTGTAATTTGTTGAATAAAAATATGTGAACAGGACATAGACGCGGAGATCGTTGCAGCGGAGGAAGGCGGGAGCTGCGAAGGTGTAGAGGAGGAGGAGTGCCTGATGAGGAGGACATTGGCGGCTCATGTGGATTACATATATACACAGAAGCACAAGCCTTGAACTCGTGCAGCCAATTAAAATTCTCTCTCTTTGTTTCTTCTTTTTAAAAAGCCATGCAATAATAAAGCATCCATATGTTATACTAAATAATATCATACAAGCTTATTTGGTCAACTCAATCTTTGTTTTCGAAAGACAATGGATTTAATTAGGATTAATTAGTTTGTCTTTATAATATTTCTTGTCTTTTTATGGGATTTGGCTTCATGTCCTTCTCGTACTTTTAAATTTTTCTAATCAAATTTGGATGACACATCTGCTGGGCATATGAGATTTAAGATTTCTACAAATCGCTATGAGAGCGTAACTCATTATATATGATAGTTTGATAACTTGTTCTATTTGTAATTTGGCTCACTTAATACTCTACCGCCCACGCTATTGTCAATAATAGTAACAAAAATAAACAAATTATGTGTTTGGCAACAAGAAATTTGTTGCCATTTTGCTAATAAAAGTAAAACGCCACGACAAGTCATGAACTTCTGGTATGAACAGTGTGGACTTTGGTGCAGGATTTCTTAGTTATCCATGGTTTGTGTTGATGTAATATGTTGTCAGAGTTATTTTTGACACTCTAAAAAAATATTCCGTAATATTTTCTAATAAAAGAATTTATAGAAAAAATATAAGTGCAGCACTAATGTGCAAATATCCATTCTCTATCTAATTTAACAAAATAAAATATTTGCTGTCCTCATCTGTAAAGGATGCCGATGGAAAACTAAGGCAGCTTTGTGGAGAAAAGTCAATATGATACTACAATAGATACCCGTTCACACTTTCGTTTTCTCATTTTGTGATATTCTCATTGCGTCCGTTCATTGATTCTCATTTGACTTATTTAATCCAAAAAAAAAAAAAAAAAAAAAGAGAAGTGTATAAATCATTTTCTTGTAGAACACTGCTCGCAATCATGCACCACATATTTGGTCAACTATCGTCAATGAAAGCAACTGCTAACACCCGTATTCATAATCCATGATTAAATTGTGGTGATTAAAAGTCGGAAACACAATATTAGTAGAGTGTCAAACACGTCGGCTGTGTTGAATAAAGAATTGATGTGTCATTATCCTGTGGAAGTCCAAACTTAAAACGAGCTTTTGCTGCGACTGCTTTTGGGAATTACAGATTATGAAATGCAATTTTAACAACCCACCAGTTGACATCAGAATTCCATCTTTGTACGTGTGCATGCATCTTGTCTGACCTCACAAAGATGATAAGTCCGTAATCGATCCGTAATCTTCTCGTCGGCATTTAGATCTCAAGAAGTTCTTGAGTGTCATCGGTTGTATATAGTTATGCCTTTATCTCTCTTATGACGGAACTAATTTGACGAATCAATGGAATAGTAAGCATCATTAGTACCAAACCTTTGCAATGCTGGGAGTGTTTGATCCACTTACCAAATGAAACATGAAATTTCAATTGGATGGCACAGTCCAATTGCGCTAAAAATTGCATTTATGTGCCATTAAGGGCAAAGAATCATTACTGGTGAACTCCGCCCTTCCTCTTTTGGCAACAGATTGATGACTGCCTCATTCATCCATTTCCTATAACTCACTTTCGCCGGAGACACTAAATCAAGTCCCCGTCCCTAAGACGGCGTCATCGTGCATCCCTTTTTTTTCCCGAAAACGCTAAATTGGGTACAGCTATAGTACCAACTGAGTTCTTAAGTAAAAACATGTTGGAAATAATCGCTAGAGCATACATAGTGATACCCAGTGCCACCAACTCTCTCAATTTCCAGATTTAAACAGATGAACAGCTAGCACAATGTAATGAATGGCCACTGCATAACAATTCTACGGGTAGTAACTAACAAAACGCGAGTGATAGTTAGTACAGAAACATTCCTTGCACACATAGGATAAATCAATCAAATTCCCCCGGCCCCCGGATATCTTAAATTGCATCTCCAAACTTCTTATTACAACGTTGAATTGCAACTGCTAGAAAGCCTAACCAGAATACAAAAGAACGAATTATCTCAGCTGACAAAAGAAGGCATCAGAAATGGTAACCTCCTTCGAAAGTTGCCTCCGCTCTCGGAGAACAACATGAACCAAAACAGTCAGAGAAAACCAGAATCTGCTGGTACAGGTTTTTATCACCATACCTTAATGAGACCAAATCAGAATCGTGCAGCAAACTCTTCCAAATGCGGCAACGAGATCCGTGTGCTACTAATCGCTACTTTTCTTCCATATTGAAATTATTGTGGTTTAAGTTTTCTACCTAAACAAATCAAGAACTAGGTAAATTAACTAAATATCATGAATGTTTAAACAGTAGAATCATTAATGGTCTATTTCGATTTAACTTTAACAACCCAAGGCATGATTCCTCTAGATCGAAAGTAGGGATGTTCTAAACCTCAAGATCCCACCAAAATTCAGATATGTATAGTTGCATTCACTCAAGGATTATAAATTTAATAATTAAAGAACAGAAAAGGAATAAAAGTTCCTGAATTTAAAGCATGCGTCACAATGAATCATGAACCTCCTTTTCATCATTTGAATTAAGTAACAAAGTTATACACACATAACGTTCCTCATAAGGGAGCCGTATCTGACTTATAGGAGCTTCTTACAAGGGAGGGATAACCCCATCAAATTAAGCAGTCAAGAGAACTCTTGAACCACCCAGGACGTATAAATGCAAAGCAAGACATACAGTAACTATAACTGAAGACTTCCCGCTGAAGTATCTGATGACTTGCAATCCCCTGTCTGCAACCTCCCCATGAAGTGCACTAAGGCTTCTTTTCAAGCCATCTAATAGCGTCCACAACATAAACTCAACGAGAGATCGCACCGTCTCAAACGTCACCCTCCCCGTCACATCCAGAACAAACTTCCTATTGCTCGGCACAGCCAATGTAGATGAAACCTTCCTAACCCACCCACTACTATGAATAACATCCGACGAACTCTCCACCTTCCCCTGCTTTGGAGATACCTCTCGCTGCAAGCACTCATCCGTAGTTCCACTTGGACCTTCACTCTGATCAACAATTGGACATGCATGCGAATTCGAGCTTGAACTCGAACTGGAACTCGTCAAAACCTGGTGAGATGTCCTCACAACTGTTTCCACAGCACCATTACAAACAGAAACTAGAACATCCCTCACTTTGTTCTGGTGCTTGGGATTGGTCAACCCATCAAACATATCTTCATAAACGTTGATATCTTTCGTTTTGTCAAGGTAAACCGCAACAGCAGTGCTTACAAAAACCTGAATGCAATTTGCTATGAGATCCTTACTTCTGTCACTGCAAATCACATTAACCCATGTAGGCACATCCGATGAACTTGATTTCGATACACTTGAATTCTCACCCAATTGCTCATCGGAGTAAAATCCCAGAACCAAATTCTTAGCAAAGCTTCCAACCACAACCGAAACAAACCCGGTTCCAGCTGTAGAGAAAACCTTCTCCAAAACCCTATCCGAAAAGCTCGAATTGCCCATACCCTTCTCCGATTCACCCTCATTCTTCATCTCCAATCTACACCCTCGAATCATCCCAACCGTCATAGCCTCTGTAACCCTACTCAGTGACACGGAGAACTCTTCCGACCTAGCAATCTTCGAAATCTGCTTCAAACTTTGGGGCATTTCTTCCGAATCGGATAGCAGAAACTCCTTCAAGTCCTTGGAAACAACCCCGATCGTCTCGGCCGAATCGGAGACAATCTCGGCCATAGAGATTAGGGCTCCAACAAGCTTCAAGCATCTCTTCCGCTTCCTGGCCACAGAGGGCAAATTGTAAACCCTATAAGCTCCATAGCCGGAGACCCCAAGAGCTGCGAGTATCAGAAGCCATCGCCTTCTTCTCCGAGAGAAATTCAAGCCCTTCGCGACGAGCCCAAGTTCCATTGGAGCTCGAATAACAAAGGGAAGCTGTAAAGCTTTGGTCTTTAAAGTGCTTTTGGGAAATGAACTAACAATTTAACGAATTGGGTACTGAAAATCGATTGCTTTGTGTCGATGAATTTCTAGGGTTCTGGAGTTGCAAATCCCAATGAATTGGAAAGACCAGATATTAATTGGGGGAATTCAATGAGGAGGGCGATGAGAATACGAACCTTTGCGACTTTGAAACTGTCAATTGGTGGGAGGAGAGAGACAGAGAGAGAGAGGAGACGGCGGGCGTTGCAGTGACGGAGGAGAGAAAGCGGGACGCCCCCGCCAGAAATATTTTATTGTGTTAAATAAATGACACATGAACTGACTGGATACATTACCCGCGTTATTTAAAATATCCCGTTGACCATATTTTTGGGCCACATTCTTTTTCTTTTTAATGCGAGATATTTTTTATGAGATTGTTAAAGTGAAGGAAATTTTCATGTGAAATTTTGATATACTCTGATGATCTAAATTTTTCGTAATTTTGCGTATAACTTCTATTAAAATTGTTCTTGAATTCTAAATGACTATTCAAATTTGATCAACACGAATTTCTTCAAACTCTCTTGTGCGACAAAAAAAATATTACTAAATATGAGTACTAAAACATATACTAAATTGTAAAGCCAACAACAAAACTAAAAAAAAAGTTAATCAAAAAAAACATTGACGAGGCTTATACAAAACCAAATGACATAATGGAGATGTAACAGTCTTGGCATTAGCAAATATCATTTGAACCGCCTGATCATGATTCACGGGCTGACATTGCCTCCTAAACCCTTTTCATGAGCAAAGCATCTCAACGCATCAGCAACAACAAAGACCAACCAAACTGAAACCATAAAAATAATGAACAAAATGTCGCTCCTAAAACCCTTAAAAATCCTTAAAAGTTATGAATCCTTAGTTAACGACGTTGTTTTATCCCACATTTCATTGCATGATTTGTTTGGAACGTCTTTTCCTAATTTACATTTTTAATATTTAAAAACACTGTATAATGTGATATAGAAATGGAGATACAGAGCTGATTACCATGCTTTCAAACAACCAACATTGGATTTTGATTACGACGGCGGCGGTGGAGGCTGATACATTACTTGAGGCGGCGGAGGAGGTTGAGGATACCCCTGCGCCGGATAGCCTTGTGCTGGAGGATAATCACCATAACCTATATACAACCCACACGATTCATCTCAATTTAAAAGAAAAAAACACCCACAGCACAAACATAACAAATTAAATCATAAAACTCTTTTAATATATATATTCATATGAACTTATATGGTAAGGACACTTTGATTTTAGCTCATTCAGATTTCATGCCTTCATACATGCACTGTAATAACGAATACGTGCTATTTACTTTAATTGTTTTTAAAAAAAATTGGGATTGTTTTCTTGAAATGACTTCAATTAAAATGCATGGTCATTATTATAGAATCAGATTCTCTTCAGCTAATTTTCTTTTTTTTTTTCATTATGCTTTTCAACTATAATTTATTTTTGCAATTGGATTCTCTTCTCTTAATTTTTCAACTTAAAACGCTTCTATTTTTTTCGCTCTAATTCGAAATTGGACGCCGTTTGTGCCTATGTGCTTGTGAGATCGAGATCTATCCGTCTATTCTAAAATCACATAAAAAAACCAGCATAAAATTTAATATGATCAAAATGCCCTTAAAATCGTTTTCCTTCATCTATAAAATACATAAATAATAAATTCTGAAATGGGATATCATAATATCTCATTTCGAGGTACCAAGAAAGTCAAAATTTTAATAACAACGCATCCAATAAAGGTAAAAGAAAATTCTAGATTCATTGAAGGTAATGTTAGGAAGACAAAATTTGTAAATTAAATGATGTGTCACCAATAGGAATGAGCACGTTTATCAACGTAATAAATCAATTATCAACTTTTATGTAACACAGTCATATAGGAAAGATCTCATAGATCTTATTAGATGGATGCTACTTCTAGTTTACACAATCACACTTACAATTAAATATTGTTTACAAGGTTTTTTATTTTATTTTTTACTTTCTATTACAAACAATTATACTATGTTAAGGGGATGTGAATGGTTTGAACAAGAGACACAACAAGTTAACATGCTCGATAAGGTATACGTTATAGTGTCATAAGTGTTTCTTCATATGTCCGCCCATGAATTTGATCAATCATCTTCTTGCTTTGTGAGAGGAAAACCCTAACTATCAAGGTGATTCCCACTTGCCAGTTAAATGAATTATCTTTCACCCTCTGGCATGTGACTAGAGATGCCACACAATAGGTATATACATGAGATTTATTTTTCACTACCGCTTAATCGCTTCAATCTAACACGTTTGAGACTATTGCTAAAAAAGCTAAAAATATGGTCTGGTAACTAAAAACACATTTGATTACGTTTGAAAAAAAAAAAACTTAGAAGTACTTAAAATTTATGGAGGTGTTCGTAGTGCATAAAGAAAACTAAAGGCTATTAAATTATTAACAATCGAGCCATAGTTATTTGTAACAATTTGAAAAATAAGAAAGAAAAAAATAACGTTAGGAAGACTAGATTTATAAATTAAATAATGTGTCATAAATAAAAAATAAACATGTTAATCAAATAATCTAATTGTTAACTTGCATGTCTTTTAGTTTATAAAATTAAGTCTTAGCATTAATTCATTTGAAAAATAAGAAAAATAGACCATTAAAAATAAAAGAAAACCAAAGGTTACGAAATTTAGTTGGTAAGTTTTGTTCTTAATTGAGGAAATTAATTGGAACCTTAGTTTAATAAAGCGTTCTCTGTCCGAACTAAAAGTCAATGAGACGCCACGTGGCAACTTATTAGGAGCTGCCAACTGACGATGTTAGAAGGTGTCAGTGACGTCAAATAGTAGTTGTGATTTTAAATTCAAAATTATTATTAGAATTGCGCGCTGTTTCGACTTCCCTCCTCTCTCTCTCTCTCCGCCACTCCTCTTTACTTACTCAAAGCTTCTCTTACACGACTCAACGGCTACTCTCTCTCTCTCTCTCTCTCTCTCTCCGGTTAAAGCTTCAAGCTTCAAGCTTCTAGTTTTCGGTTTTCCTCTGCTGAAAGCTCCAAAAGCTTCATCATCTTCACCTGATATTGTTGTGAGTCTGCGTTTTTTCATATATTCTGTCTTGAAAAAGATGGATTTTATTTATTTATTTTATGCTGTTGAAGAAATTTGTAGCGAAATCGGTTGAGGTGATGGGAGTTGGGATTTGCTTTGTTTTCTGAGCCATTTCTTCCCTGTGCTCTAAACTTCTAATTCGTTGTTTGGTTTTGATTTCGGCTTCACTGGCGCATTTCGTGGTTTTTCGGTGTAGGTTTGCATTTTGCAAAGTCTCAAGGCCAAGCATATATTATGATGATGGCTTCCAGAACTCCCGGAACGCCAAGAGCTAAGAAGGAGAAGATTGTTGTGTTAGTGTGTTTAAGGCCTCTAAGCAAAAGGGAGGAGCTCGCAAAAGAACAAGTTTCGTGGGATTGCCTCGGCGACAACACCATTGTTTATAAACCCCCGCCTCACGAACGTTCCACTCAATCCGCCTCGTTTACATTTGGTGTGTAAAAACATCTAATTGTTCCCTTATCTTTGATGATTCTTATTGTATTTTTGTTATGATTGATTGTGTAGATTATTGATCACTGATTACCTGTTTTGTAGATAAAGTTTTCGGTCCTGGTTCAACCGAAGCAGTATATGAGGAAGGAGTGAGAAATGTTGCCTTGTCTTCTCTGATGGGAATTAACGGTAGTGATTATCGCTCAAATCATGTCATGTTTTTCCATCTAAATCTCTACTCGCATTGAATGATTGTTTACGTTCTCTTGTTCGCAGCTACTATATTTGCTTATGGACAAAGTGGCAGTGGCAAGACATACACAATGAAAGGAATAATGGAAAAAGCTGTCGATGATATCTACAACCATATAACGAATGTAAGCTCCCGAAAAACCTTTTGTTGATGGTTCTATAATTTTTTTCGTTTATTGGTTCATGCCTTGGTATATGTCTTGGTCCTGTTCTTCACCAAGAATTGCAGTTTTCTGCTGCTGTTTCTGCAGTTTGGTTTCTGCAGTTTGATTTACTAAGCAGGTGTTGCTCTGTTTGTTTGCAGACTCCAGAGAGGGAGTTTGGAATAAAAATTTCGGGACTTGAGATATACAATGAGAATGTCCGCGACTTGCTGAATACAGAATCTGTTGGCAATTTAAAGCTTCTAGATGATCCAGAGGTATTGCTTTGTAAAATTACCATAATCTTCGGTGAACTAATTACTCCTCCTTTGACTTCTCATTCAAGTTCTAGTGTTTTCTTTAATGTAGAAAGGAATCGTGGTTGAGAAATTGGTGGAGGAAGCTGCAAGCAGTCATCAGCATCTGAGAAGTTTAATCGGAATTTGCGAGGGTGACTCAGTGGAGCCCTTCACTTGAGTTAGCTTCGTATTCTCTCAAAGTTTTTTCATTAGCAATTAGTTAATCAACTTGTTTTTGTGCAGCTCAAAGAGAAGTTGGTGAAACTGCTCTAAATGATAACAGTTCACGGTCTCATCAAATAATAAGGCTGGTCAGTTCCTTAATCTCTCTCGATCATAACATCTTTGATGTTTTCTAAACAAGTACTTTTCTTCTTCCGACGACTAACTAATATTGTCTTTCTGTACAGACAATTGAAAGTACAGTCCGTGAAAGTTTAGACTGCAGGACGTCTTTCGTTGCAAGCCTGGTAAATCTAAAATAAGAAACAGAAGTTTCACCTGAGTTGGATTCTTGGTTAACAGCTAAAAACTGCAATCTGAATGATCTGCAGAATTTTGTAGACCTAGCTGGAAGCGAAAGAGCTCCAGAGACGCATGCAGACGGTGTTAGGCTAAGGGAAGGCTGCCATATTAACCTTAGTTTGATGACACTTACTAACGTTATCAGAAAGCTCAGGTCAGAATCTATATAGCAGGACAGAAGGACCATTTCAAAGTTTCAAGTATGAGATTACTTGATAGATATATCTGATATATAGTCAATTTGGTTGCTCACTCTTCGAATTGATGATTATCAGTGCTGGAAAATTAAGTGGTCATATACCTTACCGAGACTCAAAGCTCACTCGCATATTGCAACATTCCCTTGGAGGAAATGCTCGCACTGCCATCATATGTACCTTGAGTCCAGCACTGAGCTACGCTGAACAATCTCGAAACACTCTCTTCTTTGCTACACAGGCAAAGGAGGTAACAAATGATGCCAGCGTGAACACGGTATCACTTATCTGCTTATCACCTTTTTTTCAGTTTGCCTTTCTAGAATACAGAAGCTATTAATCCATTTGTTTCAAAAAAAAAAATTGCTAGGTTGTATCAGACAAGCAGCTAGTGAAACACTTGCAAAAGCAAGTAGCTAAGCTGGAAGCAGAGCTGTACACCCTTTATCCACTGAGGGAAAGAATTCAGCAGGTAAACATTCATATAACATCTGGCCGCTTGATATTTTATTTGATGTGTTTGTGTGAATGTATATGAATTTTTTTTTTTTTTAATTTTTCATAAAATATGATCCTCACTAGATGGAAATGGAAATGGGGAATTGAGAAGTGAAAGAGATTTGGCTCAATCTCAAGCGGATGAGTTGCGCCATAAACTTGAGGTTCAGGTGAATCCCGAACTTATGTTCGTTCTCCCTCTCGCTGTTCCCCAAGCCCTTGGTCTACCTTTCTCCTCTCCCCCGTATAAGCGTTAGTTTTAGATTTGTCATTAATTCTTGTTGTATGCCAACTTCAGAGTTTATATCCATTGGAATTACCTCATCGCTCTGTGGACAACTGTCTCTCCTACACTGGTGTGCTACCAATATCATTTTATGCCAAGGAACTAGGAGATTGTGATACAGCAACAAATGCAAGGACCAAGCACTCCATTAGGCACTCGTCAACTCCTCCTTTCATGCCAAGACGTGAAGTTCTAAAACATGAAATCTCATCAGAGCAACTTTCGGAGGAACCAAGTCGAGCTCTAAAACTAAAAGTGCTTTACAAAAGCAAATTGGTGATTCCTCCTTGCATTCAAGATTTAGCTTTCAGGTGCTTGGAGGATTTATTTCGTCCTCAAATAAACTCTCTCTTACTTTCCACACAGGCAAAGGGTGAATCTAACATGGTACTACTTTTTTGCTCATCACGTTTTTCAGTTTGCATTTTTACTTACTCAGAATACAAACCTATTAATATATTTATTTCAAATACTTCGCTAGGTTGTTCCGGACAAGAAACTAGTCAAACGTTTGCAAATGGAAGTGCTCAGGCGGGAAACAGAGGTACCCACCGTGTCAAGGGAAGAAGATTTAAGAATTCAGAAGGTAAACCTTCCATACAAAGTCTTGCTCGATATTTTATATCGTGTCTGTAAATGTATATTATAGGAATATTTTGTATTATGTTTTCCTAAATTTTTACTGTGTTCCAAATTCAGGTTTTAAACCAATTAGAATTACCTCATCCTTATGTAAAGAAACTTATCTTCTGCATCGGTGCGCTTCCTGCAACATTTTATGCTGAGGAGCTAGGAGGCGGTGATAGGGCAAGAAATACAATGATCAGGCACTCCATGAGGCTCTCATCATTTGCTCCCTTTACGCTAAACCATGAAATTCTAAGACTTGAAGTCCTGCTGGTGCAACTTGGGGAGGGACCATGTCGAGCTTTGGAAATAGTATTACAAAAGGAGGTAGCTATGCACGGACTAGAAAACCATGATAGGGCAAGAAATACAATGATCAGGCACCCCATAAGGCTCTCATCATTTGCTCCTTTCATGCTAAACCGTGAAATTCTAAAACTTGAAGTCCTGCTGGCGCAACATGGGGAGGGACCAAGTCGGGCTTTGGAAATAGTATTACAAAAGGAGGTAGCCTGGCAGGGACTAGAAAACCAAGATGCAGGTGAAACTTTTTGTAACCTGCAAGCAGAGATAAAAGAAACGCATTATACCAGTTCTCGGCCAAAAGAATTTGAAGTAGGAAGTCTTGTTCCTGTTAATAAAAATGAAATTCCTAGACTTCACTCACAGGGCAGCGCCATTGCAAATCTTGAAGAACAGTTTCCAAACGTGCAGTATGTTACAGACAAATTAGTGTCTCTCCCTTGCATTCAATTGTTGGCTTTGAGGTTCTTGGAGGATTTATTTCGTCCTCGTGAGGTTACTGGTGATGTTTTGGAACAAATTAAGAATGAGGTAATATAACTAGTCAAGCATTTTATTTACTTCATTTTATTTAAATGATTCTTGAAACATTTAACTGTAATCATAATGTTCAAATGTTGTCAAGAAGATGAAACGGGACCCCTCTTGGTGTTTTGCAGCCTCTAATACATAACATAGTTCCGTTGCTCGGATCTTGGCAAGAAGATGAAGCCGAAGATGATGGTGGCTTTCATCTTGAACCAGGAACATCAATTGCTGCTCCTCCAGATGTATCTGCTGTAGAATATGACTATATCGGTGAACATGTTTTTCATGTTAAAGTAGAACATCCTGCAGATAGATATGAGAAGAAGACTATTTCTGATGAAGCCAAAGAGCTCATGGATTGTCATAGGGAGACAAGTGACAGCAGTGCATTCCGTAATGGGAAGATTGATGTCTCCGTGGAAAATTGTGATTTCTTGGGCTTCCTATGTAGTAATGGTGGTCAGTTGCTGATTTGTAATACAAGTAATTGCCCTTCGGTATTTCATCAGAACTTCGAGTCTGACTTAATATGCTATAAGAAGGGTAAATATTACTGCCCCATCTGTTCATATTCTCTTGCTCATGAGAATAGGCTGGGTGAGATAGAAGAAAAGTTGAGAAGAAAGGCAGTGGCTTTTGAGGAAGTCTTCTCCGGCTGTTCTGATGGTTATATCGTTGATGAACAAGTGAATGCGCGAAATGAAAGTGGTTACGGTTGTGACAGTCAATTTGACGATGCTCAAGTTCATAACCAATTTGTCAGAGTGGAAGACAATGAGATCAAAGAAGGGACGGAGTTTGAGGTCGAAGATGAGAACAATGGTGGCAACAGTGTCAGTTGTAGAGGTGAAGGCACCAATGAAATAATTAGAGGAGGTTCTGGACACCAGTGCGTATCTGAACTGCTTGAGTTGCAACAGGATGAGGAAACTGCTGTCGAAGAAAGTTCAGACAAAAATGAAGAAGATGAAGATGGGAAAAGGGTGTTTGCGGAGAAAGAAGACGAAATTGAGAATGCAGAACTTATGCAACCAGAATCAATGGAAGTGCCCTCAAATACCATTTTTCTATCTGACACAGAGTCTCCTGTAGTGCATCAAAGAAGGGAAGACAATGAGATCAAAGAAGGGATGAAGTTTGAGGTTGAAGATGAGAACAATGATGGGGACAGTGTCAGTTGTAGAGGTGAAGGCACCAATAAAGTAATCAGAGGAGATTCAGAACACCCGTGCGTATCTGAACTGCTTGAGCTGCAACAGGATGAGGAAACTGCTGTCGAAGAAAATTCAGACACAGATGAAGAAGATGAAGGTGGGAAAAGGGTGTTTGCGGAGAAAGAAAACGAAATTGAGAATGCAGAACTTATGCGACCAGAATCTCTGGAGATGCCCTCAAATACCATTGTTCTATCTGACACAGAGTCTCCTGTAGTGCATAAAACCCATGAAAAAGCGCCAAAGAGTTTTACCATCGTTCTGTCTGATTCCTCGGAATCTGATGCTTCAGATACTTCGTCTCCTTCCATGGAACCGGAAGTTTCAGATACTTGGTCTCCTCTACTGGGCGAGATACAGCCTAAACCTAAAGCTCAAAAGACAAGAGAATCTGGAAATCAACCAACGAGGTGATTGGGGGTTAAGCTATCGATTTTGAGTTTATTTTATGAACTTTTACATGCAGTTATCGATTGTTAATCAACTGTTTCTCCTAATATGCAGGTCAAACTTGCCACTGCCTAGAAGGAGGCGGCGTATGAGATTATACTGGACAAGAGAAGAAGAAGAAAAGTTGAAGGTATTAATTATCTAAACTGAAGTAGTATCATGGATGTGTGATTTCATCCAGATTATATAAACCATCTTGTTGTTACGCTTCATTTCGAAATTCAAATTGTCGTTTCTATGATTTCTTTCATTTTCTTAAACTTACAAATGCTTAAACTCTCCATTTCCAATCAAATTTCGAAAAGTTCTTGGAAATTTTCTATTTTGTAGTTGCGTCGGAATCTAACTTAAGTAAACTCTCCAGGAGCTTGTGAACAGTTTTCCAGCCACTGGAAAGTACCGATGCTGGAAGAAAATTTTGGAAAATGGTCGTGATGTATTTCACAAGGATCGAACTCCGAATGATCTGAGAAATAAATGGGGAAAGATGCGGGTGAAAGGTGCGGTTGATCACTTTTTCACTCTCCGAGAAAACATTTGTTCCTTTCGAAAAATGAATTGAGGAAGGAGTTGCTTCGATCTCTATGACTATTTAATCGCATTTGCACATATATTTCCCTAAAACGAAGATGTTATATCGCTTTGGTGCAGGCAAAGCTGAATTCTGACTTCTGAAAGCGGCGAACTGTACAGACCGTACTCAAACCTTGCTTCGTGACCATCGACATTCTTTGAGATTTTGGATCAAAGAATTTGACTTGATATGTATATTGACTTAGTAGCATTATGTAAAAATGTTTTTGCATCCTAAGAAACCTGTACATATCTCAGCATTTGCAAAAAGTATAGCAGCAGGCCATCAGTGACTCATACACCAGAAGGCTAGCCAGACATAAAACTAAAACTTGGATTACAAGAAACCGATGTGAATTACAACGATATGAGTTAAAAACCAAGACTGCATACGAACAAACTAATTACCATAAGGAGAATAGATCGAAATTTGCTCCAGATATATTGATAAGCCTGGTCTTAATCTTCTGTAGCTTTCGCTACGAGAAATCCTTGGCTGCCCCATAACGAGAAACATAGTACAAGTTCATGAGGAGATGGTAAAATATATAACAAGAAAGACAAAATTGTTTGTATATTTTCTTTCTAAGACATTTCATGGATGAAATGACCACTTCTAACCTCTCTCTCTCTCTCTCTCTCTCTCAACTGTAATTACAATCCTATCACAACCAATCAAACATATACTTTTCAGTAAAGATTTGGACCACAAGAAATCAACATATCATGTACAATTTGGTATTAGAACAAATAGCATCATCACCAGAGGCTTGAGTCCCAGCGGGACTATTCAGCAGGACAATCAGCAAGCATTTACAAGAGTCCCAGCGCAGGACTATACGACAGCGTACTTCACAAGCAGTAGTGTCCTTGCCACTACCAGTTCATCCATGGACTTGAAGCTCCATCTTCTATTCAACGAGCAGAGCATGTGCCGAGGGTTAACCTCTCTTTCCTTGTGGTTTCTTATTCCTTTGAGACAATCTTGAGTTTTGTGGATGCAAGGAAATCATCGTCCTCTAGATCACTGAAAGATATGTCGTCTTCATTGATTGCGTGAATAGCTGTTCCACTATACCCATCTAATTCAGAATCTTCCTCTGGCCAGTCATCATCGTCATCATTTTCGTAGATATTATCTAGCATCTTCGAGGATGGACCAACTGTTAGATTCTTCTCCTCGCTCTTAATGATGGGCTTTTCTTCAATAACAGACTTATCAATAAATGCGATTTCATCACTCTCAACTGGATGCTTCTCAGTCTCATAAGCCGTGGGGGACATTGTTGATTCATAAGGATATGTCCTTAGCATCTTGTCCTCGTAATAAACACTACAGGATGAGACTGGAGCACAATCTTCGTGTAGTATATTGGAATGGTCTTTTAAAAAAGAAGGGTTTCTTCCAAATTGATCAGCTTCTAATGCAGTATAACAATGTAGCTCCTGCATCCACATTGCTCTGGCTTCCATTACCTGCGACCAATATGATATACTACATTAAATTTCTAATCAAACAAATAGTGCCATTTTTCTGGAACCATCTAGAATTCCTAAATCCTAACTTTATCCCGAACTGGGAAGATCACCTGCAACCTAAATAGACTATTGAAGTTGAACATCTAGAACTATGAAATTCCACCCCGGGACAACCCCATGGAGGAGTTCAAGCAGCTACTAGCATCCAATAACAACGAGGACTTGTGATATACAATCAAGCTGATCATGAATGGCATGAAGCAGCATTTCCATCATTACAATGCCACAAAGTGTAGTTACTAAGTTCAACTAATCCTTATAGTGTCAACTGATTCCATTTAATATAGCTTTAAATCTCAGGGTTTAAGTTGGAAGAAGAATCAAATTTAATCAATTGACTGGCAGACACTAATAGTAATAATACAAAGAGGGAAGCTTACTTGGGGTGTGGACAAGATCTCGGCGTCCTGCTTATTGAGCCTCGAATGCAGAAGAACAAAATAGACTTTCCAGAAGTAACTCTCACTCATATGGCACGGACAGAGTTCAAATCTCAAAGCAGCTAATCTTGGCGCAAGATGTTCAATCACCGTAGCATGCTCTTGCTGGGCATCAGACATGTCAAAATCTAAAATAAGAAAGGTGTATCAATTAGACACCAATCCCAAAACTGCATACTTAGAAAAAGCAACAATCTTGATCAAGAAAATCGAAAAATAAAAAAACCTATGTTCAAGTATTCCCTCCATTCCTCTACCCCCCCCCACACCCAAATGTAATTTAACCCATCTTCCAACAATTTTACAATGCACTATCTCAAATTTCTGCGACTAATATCAACTGCATTGTGCATAAAATTAAAATCCATCGCCGCAACGAGACAAGCTACGAACCATAAGCAACTCTACTGCCACAACCTTATGCATTGTACTACCAAAATCAAATGAATCTTCAATAACACATTGAAATTCGAAGATTAACCCAACAATTTGAAGGATAATAATGCAATATACATTTGAACTGCACGAAATTTTCCACATTTCAAAAATTCGCCAATGAGATCTGAATCCTACATTGAAAAATACATACAGTATACAATTTCGTATACGTATTTCCATACATACCGCCCAAATCCTCCTCTTCGTCGAGAGGAAAGTCCAGCCACGTCTCCGGATGCATCGCGATGTTCCTCGCGAACGCCAGCACCTCCTCAGTGACCCCTACGGCGCAATCCCCCTCCAATTCCTCCTCCTCTTCTCCTTCACCAAAATCCATCGCCAATTGATCGGGCGGTTCGGATCGACCGATGTCGGGAGGATCCGTTCGATTACTGGATGGCAATGAAGGGTACGGCGGAGGCGGTGGGGGCGGCGGCGGAGCGAGGAATGATGCGACCCCCCAGAATTGGCGGGTCAGCGTCTGCTTGAATTCGTCCAAATCTTCCCTCACGCCTCGGGTCTGGTCGTCGTCTTCGTTCTCCTTATCTGAAGATTCAATTTCGCTTCTTCGAACGACGTCGTTGTCGGCGGTGGTTGGGATTGCTGATTCGTTGGGTACGACGTCGTTCTCGGTGTCGCCGTCCTCGTCGAGCCGGAGAGAGTCAGCGAGAGAGCGAGCGAGCCATGACATTTTTTTTTTTTTTTGGAGTGGAAGAAAAAAGTGACGGATTTGAAAAAAAAAAAAAAAAAAAAAGAAGGAAATGGGACGTTCGAAAAAGGTTCGGGAAAGTGCGGGGAAGAGTTCCGGTGTGTTTTGAACTGCCGTCGTCGATGTTCGTGGAGCATATGGGATAGCGACACGTGTGCATGTTCCCGGGTGAAAACAACCGAATTATTTTGTCCGGCACGAGAAGATTTAGGTAGATCCGGATATGATTTATTCAATCATATGGAGCTCGAAAAGTGCCTAAGAACGACACGTCGTATGATTAGGATGAAATTATATTAAGAAGGGTGTCGTAACGAAATACTCATAATACTGTTCACTTTTAACGTTAAAGATATTTTTATACTAAAATATCACTTGTGATATTTTTCACTCACAACAACTTTTTATTCTTTTGATTAAAACTCAAAGCTTTCAAATCATTTTCATTAGTTTTTCTTATTAAGAATTTTCATGGGCCAGTAGAAAGGTGAATGAAACTTTACTTTCCAAGCTTGAAGCCCATGAATTAAATGCATTTTGGGCTTAATGCAATAAAAGAGTTCCAACTTAAAAAACCCAAATACGACTTAAGTTCACTGTCTGTCACGAGGGATTCTGGTGTTACAAGTTCACATAGCGTGCTATCTCGAGAAACTACTTTTATTTATATTTTTTGTCAAACGATATATTTTGTTAAATTCGATGTTAGATTAGTCACCAACTGGAGTTTGAATCATGTTGTCATGCAAAAGCTCAATGCATTTCCATCACTATGGTAAAGGGCCACTTGCAACGAAACTAATTCTATATTACAACTGAATTTTATGACTATAAAAGAGTCTAATTGAATTTGCATATACATACCGAATGTTTATAATGCTATATAAAATAAATAAATAACAGATAATTGATGGGTCCAGACAGGGAAGTTGCTTGACAAAATAACAAAAAAGATGAAGGTATTGATGAGTTGCTTTGAGTAACATTATTTTTCTTTATTTGAAAAAAAAATGAGAAAAAAATGTTTTGTTTATCAAAAATAACAAATTTCGTTAAGTTCCTGTATGAGAAGCCAAGTCATGAAAATGTTACAAGTTTCATCCCAAGTAAGTAAAAGTTACATAAGAAGTCCATATTATTTCAACAATTTGCTTGACCTTCGTCTCAATGTTGGCAGGTTGAGTTGGTGGTTTTGCGTTAGGTTTAAAGGTGATGGCCTAATTGGGGTGGTGGTTACCGTTAGTTGGTAGAGGCTATACTTTAATGACTAGTTGATTTAGCTGATTTTTAACAAATGCTTAACGAATGTGACATTTTTAATAGATTAGATACTTGTTTGAAATATTTAAAAATATCGAGACCAATCTAAAAATAATACTAAAAAGTTAGGATTTTAAATACTCAATTCTTTTTTATTTTTGGCTACATTATTGTTAATGTATATCCATTCAAAGATGCTAGATGTTGCAACTGTCGCAAAAGGAGTTTTGGGTTGTCAATGTCGTCGTCTCTCCTTTTCAAGTAGACAAGGTTTCAACCCTCTTTTCCCCCACTCCACTCCACTCCACTCCAAAATTTGGACAAATTTCTTTTCATTACCAAAGGGCCCAAAAGGAAGAAGTGTCCATGTGCACCCGTTCGTGACAGCAAAAGTGAAATGTGAGGGCCCTTCAAACCCCACCCTTCGACATCTAAGTTTCAACAAAGTTAATTCTGAGCAGGCGAGCAGACTAAAGTTCTAAAGCATGTAACACACAATTTGAGGTCCGTTTGAGATTGCTTCTGGAAAGTTTAAAAACGTTGTTTTACAACTAAAGGGGATTCTGACTGCGTTTGATAGAAAAAAATTAGAAGTGTTTTTGGGTGCTAAATACTTATTTAAGAAACACTTTCAAGTGTGTTTTTTAGGATGTATTTGAGTTTTCAGTAAAAATTTGAACGTGTTTATAATGAAACCATTTTTAACATAAACTCTTATGAGTAAACATGTTTTGTACACAAGGAATCACAAACGAATCCTTAAACAACACTTTGTAAAACTTATTATGAACTTATGGTGTGATAAATATTTTAGAGTGTTAAGAACAATTTCTTATATTGTATAGATTTCCAAATTTAGTCATTCAAAAATCCATTTTATGGTTATAAAAAAAATAAAAAATAAAAAATAAAAAAACCAGTCAAGTTCCGTTTTTTATAGTTTGATTTTTGAACTGATAAAAATTTCCAGGAATCTACATTCTACACTATAAATATTTTTACAGCAATACAAAAACTTTAGCTATAAAAAAAATATTGAAACTTTGGAAACCTAGATAAAGAATAACCCTTCTTTAATGTTAAAAGAAGAGCAAACCAATCATAAATAAACACGTATCTTAATAATTGAAATGAAAAATATAATTAGACACTTGTTCATTTATAATCGGATTTCAACTCTTCGTTCAACAGCAAAATATTTTTCACCCTAAAATGGAATGTTAGCTGTTGGGACCCTGCACTGCAAATTTCATCTTTAAGACGATGATCAATGATTACTGATAGGACTTTGGGATTAATGTTTGGCTAATTTTCTCTGATATTTCTTAATTTATATTGTCCACTGAATTTCATTGGATTTTATTTTTAATACTATGATGGTCCAATTACTTTGGTGATCGATGATGAAATGTGAATGATGAGTAATTAAAAGCTCAGTCAATTTTTATACCCCTTTGTCGTTTTAACTTTTTCCATTCACGTACGAAACAAGAAACCTCCTGTGTTTCTTTTCTGCTGTACCAGCTTTTTCCAGAGAGTAAGACATTGTTCACTTTTTCTCTTCCTTGCCATTCAATTCCCGTACAATAAATGAATGGCAAACAAAACAAGCAAAACCCAAAATCCTCCCTTTCCTCCCATCCGAATTTGAATCTTCTCCTAACCTCATAGTTCAAAACCTAAGGATGATGGAATTCGGACCGTCCTGTGAGAGAAAAAGAGATCTAAAGTCTTGATTTGTGTGAGATGAACCAGCGAAATGAATTAATAGAGATTACGATCAATTTGGGCGGTCTCTGTTCCTTGGGCTCCAAATAATGAGGTCTGGAGAAGATCTATGTCCCTCCCACCCATCTCTCACCTATCAGATCTCAAGTTATCCAAGGTGAAAAAAAAGATTTGTAACTCTCTTGTGGTAAAAACTTTGATACGTCAACCTGATAGTTCGAATGGTCAAACACTCTCGCAGGAAAACGTTTTTCTTTGTGTTTGGGTATCATCCGCCGCCCTCGTGTAGGTACTACTTTGAATATTCTCTGACTATGTATTTGGGTATCATCCGGCATTGTATAGGTACTTTTTCCCAATGCACGTGGTCACAACCTAGGTCTGACCAAGTTCAAGCTGCTCTACTAAAATTTTTCTACTATGGTTGTATATCTCTTAGTGTCTAACTCTCTTATAACGAGATCAGGAGTCATTTAAGGAGAAGATTATTAGATATTCTCGATTGTATATCTCCTTATGTTTATCTCTTTCGTTGCTGGAATTTAGAATTGAACTACTCCAACTTAGAACGGTACAGTGTCAAACATAAATAGGTGGAATATAAGTGAATGGAAATTCAAAACACATGATGGGAAAAGTATGAGAATCAATTAGGCAGTGCAGGCAAGCAACATCAACTACAGTTGACAGTTCAGAGCTCATGACAGAAGCTTTCACCTTCACTCAACTTCTTTACAGAGACATGATAAAAAATAAAATAAAAACTGCCCTATTCTGGAAATTGAAAAAAAAAAAAAAGAACAAACAATTTGCCTGTGAGAGACAAAAATATTAACTCCATTTGGATTCAAACTTGCTGAGGGTTATTGGCAAACTCAGCTCAAAACTGCCAGCTGATATAGACAGTGGAATTACAAATTCGAAAACTGCAACAGAGTGCCCGTCCGCTTCGAGCTTGTCGGCTTTGTAGTACAACTGAGGATCAGCAAATCTTGGGTCCGACTGGCACCCGGATGGATCAGCGTATCATATTTACCAGAAAATGGAATTACATTGCCCAAATTGACCCACATTATGATGTTTCTTCTGGTGGCGGAAACAATCGATCCAAATCAAAGATGTTGAAGTATACACAAGAAAGATGGGTACCTCAGAAACACCATAGGACCTTTTGTCTTGAATTTTCTTGGATCCCAAACAAGCTCTGCGGCTCCTTTTATCCATTGGGACAGAGAAAAATTGAGAGAATGTATATCAACAAAGTGCCATTTTTTACTTCATTGTATTGTTCTAGTAAGCTTACATTTCGAAATGAATAGTGTAGCGGTGTAATTTAGACTACACAACTTCAAGAGCTCAGCAGCTCTTTGCTTCAATACAGGATTGCAACCACTTTGAATTACAAGCAGCAGCTTGGCTGCCAAACCCGCCTCTACCGCAAGCGAAGCGCATTCGTCTGGCGCGAGCTTGCAGACCGCCCCCAAGATCGATAATGCGAGCTGAGTGCAGCTTTCTGAAACCTTCATCAGTAGTCTAACTACACTGGGGATTGTTTTGGGACAATCTTTCAAAGCCTGCCTTCCCTCGGGAAGTGTTGACAAAACTTCTAGGACATGAAGGGCTATCTCCAAACACTCGTGATTCAAACCGGGCAAGAGCTCAATCAATTGAGGAACTGCCCCAACGCTCACAACCGAGTTCCTGACCGATTCGTGGGAACAAATTGTCTTGAGCAAACTGAGACCAGGCAAAACCCCATTAGGGTTCCTTTTATCCTTGACCAATCTCAACAATCCAACCACAAGACGTAAGCTTGAGACATTTTCCGCCTCCAAATCCTTGCCCTCCATCAAAACCTCAATCAATTTCGTGCAATTGATCTTCGTCTCAATCGATCCCTCGTTCAACATATCAACCATCAACGAAACCTTTGCAGGTTGCATCAGACTCGTCCTGGACTCTGAACTGAGCTCCAAATTCACAAGAGTCCCAATTGCTTCCGACCCAACGGCGTGCGAAGTGAAAGGACCCAACAGAGAGGAGATCAAAGCAACACCCCCGTTGTCCACCACTGTGTTCTGAGCGGAAGCATGAGCTGCCACTACCCTTCTGAGCTCCTTGAGACCTTGAACTCTGGCTTGGCCCTTAACCTTCTTCAATGTCTCCAAAATCTCCAGAACCCTCCCCTGCACGTCCTCTGACCGCTTCTTCATCGCGACGTACTTCTGCGAAAACCAGCTGCAAATCAACTGGTGAAGGGTGTTATTTGGCGTGACTGAATCATCCCAAAGCTCCTGCATTGTTGTGGGGCAAGTGTAGTGCCCCAAAGAGAACCATCTGAGAATGTTCGATCTCTCGTAGGTCTGACCCGTGCAAAGGGTCACCGGATCCTGCATTGGCTCCAACGAAATCGGGCAGATGAACACTGAAGGAATCTCAATGGACTCCAGCTCCTCAATCATCTTCTTCAGATCCAACTTCTCCGCCACAACACCGACTCCGCCACCGCAAATTAACCCGCCTCCGCCGCCCAAAATCCCATCTTTCACCGCGGTTTCCAGATCTAGAACCTGCCCACCACTGCCTGCATCAAACTTCATCCCCCCACAACTTCTTTTCCACCCGGATGGATGGTACATAAGCAATTTCAAAACCCCTTTTTCCTCAGACCAAGAACAAAATCACACAAAACAACAACTCGGTATTTGAGATTTGAACTTCAACACCCCCAAAACCCACAAACACCAGAAAACAAGGATTCAACTCGAAGACCAATCTGTCCCATCATGAGATTAAGAAGCGTGCGGCAAAGAAAATCTAGAGAGAGAAGTGTGGAAGTGAAAGAAAGGAAGGAAGAGTTTCTCTCTGTCCTTTACTCTCTTTGGCTAAACCTTCTCATTGACAAATACAAGCAACAAAGACCATCAAAATGCAAAGGGGATCTCTTTTAATTTCTTCCTCTTCCTCTCCCAATTTTTCCTGCTTTATCTGATCTCTTTTTTCTATGGTCAAAACTCAAAAGGCCCACCTTCCTTCTCCTCCTCCACCACCACTACCACAACCCCATCATTTTCTCATCACCAAATCAAGCAAAATCATCAACTAGTAGCACTAGTAATCTTCCTTCTCCAATACCAAAGCTCTCTCTCTCTACTCACTCACTCACTCACTCACTTCCTCTTCAAGCTCAATAAAAAGTTCGAAATCATAAATAAACCCCCCAGATCAGGGAAAAAGCTATCAAAAGCAATAAAAAGATACCAAACTCACTCATACCACTCAACCCAAATGACCCAAAAATTAAAAATATAAATCAAATTCCCAGAAAGAATTGAAATTTACAAGAAAAAAAATGCTCAGAAGCAGACCATTGATAGCGAGTGAGGAAAAAGACGGGAGGGAGAAAAAAAAAAAAAATTAAAGCTACCTTCTTCCGCACAGTCTCCCCCACTGCTCCTGCTGGTCTTCTTGTGGGGGCAGGTGACGAAAACCCCCAAAAATTTGTTTATTTTTATTAATTTTTTGAAAGAAAATTATGGATTTGTATGCGAGGGCGACCGGGTATAGCCGGTGGCGGCAAGTTCAGGTTTGAGCGACTGTGCACCACACGTGCAGTCATAGCTACAGTCACAGTACTATGACATATCTGATGATATTTTGTGTTTTATTTTTATTTTATTTTTTGGTATTATTGATATTCAACGTAATTATGCAACCGATGCAAGTTAGGATAAAGGCTCCTTTTGACTGGAATATAAAGTGTGTTTGACTGATAAACTACATATTCATAATACACCTTTTTTATAACTTTTATTTTTAATACCACTAAAATACAGATAAACTACCAAAGTCTAGTTCGTGGTTGCAGTTTCTACTGTGGTTTGAGAATAAACAGCCATAAAACAAAAGTAAATAAGTGTTTCTTAAGCTATAGTGATCAAAATTCTTTTAGCAAAAAAAAGATGGGAATATCATTGTCAATATGAAAGTTTCATTAATTGGTATTGTTCACAACCTCTAATGAAAAAAAACAGAATTACTTCTGCTTTCTACTGTTTTGAAGTCATTTACCAAACACAATTAATGTCCCAGTTTTTTTAAGGAACAACTTTTTTAAAAAAATTAAGCAACCACATATCAACCCTAAAAGTAAAAGAGCATTTAAAGTTGTCCATAAAAAATAACTTGTATGAAACAAAAACTTTAAAATAACAATATCTCCAATAAATTATATAATATTATGTGAAAAATTTAAAACACGTGATAACATAAAATCCTAAAGAGTAGTTAAGTTATTCTTCTCCACAACTATAATCTTGTCATGTTAGGTATGTCTCCCATGGTCAGATCCAACCACCTATGACCAGCATTTGCCTAAACTAATATTAGTTGTTTAAAGAATATATATACATACAATTTTTGGAGGAACCCTAAAAAAAACATACATAAAATTGTTGGAGGAACCCATATAAAAGTTTAAGAAAAAGTAGTGGGTGGATGGAATGGTTGGAGAAATATTTTAAGATAATAGCCAATGTATTAACTTCAGTAGTTTTATTAAATTATAGAAATATTAAATGCCTCATCAAATTTATTAAGTGGGTTTTACTTGTTCATGTTTTTCATATGAATTTCATTTTATATTTTTCTTTAATTTAGTTGTTGTCACGTTAGTTGTTATTCGAATTTGAAAGAACAAATAAGAAAATAAGTTGGTGGTGTGCAAATGTTGATAAATTAAGTTATGTTTCATAAACTATTATTCATCTAATCCTTCTTTAATTTCGCCCAAACAATATTTATGTATAGAATGAAAAATTTAGGGTTCAGCCGTTCAGGGATTAGAATAAAACTATTCAAAGTCTTTTTGTGTTTGAAGATTGAAACCAAAAAAGCTTTGTAGTTAAAAGAGAATTTTTAGTGTACTAAGAAAACATTACAGTACACTAAATGTAATAAGCAAAACCACATGGGGATTCTTAAATCGTGTATGTTCATTATACATCGTGCATCTAGAAATCATTTTAAATACTTTTATTTAAAATTAAATATAAATAATGTATGACGAAAACTGACCGTACAATATATAATGAAGGGACATAATTTGTAAATCTCCAAAATCTTTATAAAGAGAATCCAAAGAAGATCTTTCTGGATCCACCACAACATTAAGACTGTTCATTATGTACTGTAAAGAAGAAAAAGAATATTAGACCAAAAATTAAATAAAAACAAATATAGACCAAAAAATAAAATAAAAACATAACAAAAAAAAGAATATTATTGGTCAAATCTCTACTTCCCAGTCTTCACTCTGATCCACCTTTAAACAATAATACTGCACAAACACAGTTACACACAATAATTAATTAATAATTAATTGTGGCTTAATACAGAGAAAAGTGTCTGGGCCTCGGGACGCACAGTTCCCATGGCCATGTGGGAACAGGTGATTGGCCGAGATAAAGCAAGTGCTTGAGAATACGCACTCTCTGCATCCTCCCAAAAGACTTGAAAGTGATCAAACCGGACACCGGAATGCCAAAAATTGCCGATCGAGGACTCCAAAAAATGATAACAAAATTTTCCTTTTAATTTGTTTTGGACGAAATTGTAAATTGCAAATCTTTAGACCGCACAAGGAATCAGGATCGGTCAAACGAAACTGAGCTCGCAGTCTGCCACTTTATGAAAGCCACGCTCTGGTGGGTCCCGCCCCACGGGGTTCCAGTCCTCCCCCGAACTTCTATGCTTTTATTTATACGTATACATTTGGTGATACTATCTAATAATATTTTATTTTAAAAAAGTGTTATTAACATTTTAAAATTTCATTCTATATTTCTTAAAAGTATATTTTTTTTCTTAATATAGAAATTTTAGAGTGCATAATGAGATTTTTAAGTGCTAATAACAATTCCCTTATTTTATTGTAAATGACTTTTAGGTTCATTTCTCATCAAAGCTGCATTTGAACCATATTATTATGGTTAGTCAATTACGAGACATAGCTCACTCACTCGCTCCATTAGCGTATACCAAATTCAAATAAAATATAATTACAAAATCACTTAATTCACACACTTAAGTTATTTATTTTTAATTAATTAGCGGCATTTCTTTACACTTATATGTAAAGAGAAATATTAAAAAATTAATAACAAACTCATCATTCACAAAATTTAAACTTAAAATCTTGCACTTATACGTATAAAAAAAAACAACAAAAAGAAGACATCACTAAACTGTAATCCTACCGTATTAGGAAATGCAAGTGGATTATTAACAGTTGATCATAAACTTAGTTCATGATATAAATTTCATTTATTTATGTCAATTATTTTATTGTCTACATATGTATTAGGAAATACAAAATATTAGCATGTTTTTTAATCAATAACTTGTGCACTTGCACAGATAATTTGTGCATTTTATTCCGCAAAAAGCTTTGCTCACAGTTTTGAAGTTATGATGATGGTCATTAACTATTTATTATTGCTAGATAAGTTTAAATTTTGGTATATGTGTAATGAACAAACATAAATAGAATTGTGAGTATTACCACCACTTAAGGTGATGAGCAAAAAATAACCCTTTTGTTCAACACTTGACCTATCGTCAGTTTATTGAGTCCATCGATATGATCCCCACTTCTTGAAAGAATTGTGGTACATGCACCAAATAAATTTGTGAATTTTATTCATCTAAATGTTGGTTGAACTCATAAGATACAATTATAGTGGTAGATACACCCACTTTGGACTAGTTAAAATTTTTATATTAAGTATTAAAGTTAAGTTATTTGCAGGGTTTGGGTTGATTATTAAATTCCATCGTGGAATTAGAGCTAAGTTATTTGCATATCGAGCAAAAAAAAAAAAAAAACAAAAGAGTGCAACTAAAACCACCAATCATCCATTACCCTCCCTAGCAACAAACACCACCCCACTCTCCCTTTCAATTATGGTACTACCACCTCCATCATCTCCTCTTTTTCCTCATTAACGAACAACGATGACAATTCAGACTTTTAAAATTGAATAAGACCCAATTCCAGTTGGAATAAATTGATTTGGAACAATCTGCCTCTGTATTGGAAAACTCCCCTGTGCTTCTCTCTCCCTTCCCCTTTGGTTTCTCTATATTTCCAAAGGAGATGCCGCCAAGTAGGATAAAAGGTTTTGGTTTTTGATGGGGGTGGGAGGAGGTTCTAGTGCGGCTAAGCATGAAGTTAAAAAAAAAAAAAACATATTAATATTATTCTTTAAAAAATTATACATTAGAGGTTATTTTAAGAATAATGGTGGGTGGAGAAATAATATTTTAATTTTTTAAAATTTTATGGTGGGTGAAATTATAATGTGGGTGTAGTAATAGGACAATGGGGTGAGTCTATCATCACTAAAAAAATGTAGAAAACTTTATCTCTTTATCGTAAAAGAATTTGGTTGATTTATTTTTCAGAAATGAATATTAAAAGAGTAATTTTAAAAATAGACTATGTAGATTGTCGAACACTGTTTTAAAATGGTAACGTAAAGCAACAATAATAACAAAATTTTATCCTACTAAGTGAAAGGCTGTATAAATCTTCGATTTTGTGCCAAGTCCGTTAACTCCAATTATTCCATGTATTATCTTAAAGTTTTTATTCCAAGTCTTTTTTCTGGCAAATATCATATTGGAGTGTCGAGATTTCATGAGTCGTAATGAAACTGCATCATGCATTATATCTAGTTTGTTTTTTGGGCTTTAGCCCCGTTTATCACTCAAAAAAAAAAAAAAAAAAAAAGAAATCAACCAAATTCTTTTGATGTTAAGCCTACTGAAGCCAACTTTAGCCCACGTCTCCTACGTCGCTTAAACCCCTAAAACCCTAAAAAAAAAATTTCATTAAATGAAAAAAAAGCTCAATCCCTAGGCTTGTCTTCTCGATCGATTTTCTACCTCAGCACTCAGCAGCACTCGGTTCCATTGCAGTCTCTGTGCAGCTAACAGGTACTTATGTAATTTTCTCAGCTCATTGCATTCATTTTCTTATCTCTGACCAAGAAATTTGATTTTTTTTTTGGTGGTTTATGAGCGACTGATTCTTTCCAGTTTAGGCTAAAGATTGTAAATTACTTTAAAGTTTTTGAAATTCATTTTAGGGACTGTAAATTTTGGGTTCGATTCTGGTAGTCCACTCACTTAGTTAAACTTAGACAGTAAGATTTAAGTTCTGGGAATTGAAATTGTGTTTTTAAAATTAGGGTTTTGAATTTGGGGGTTCTGGATAGGATGCTTATTGTAGTAAACCGACATGTAGCTCGACAATTTTACGAAGCTGCCACTTTGTTTGTTACCAATTTTCATTGTGAGAAAGCAGATTTGAGATATTGTTATTTGTCAGCAAGATTTCATTGATATGAATTTATATTCCCAGTTGGATTCCGGAAGTCGACTCTGTCAGCTGTAAGAAAAAATGGCGGATGTGGTCCAATACCGGATGGAGCGTATGCTCCCGGAGTTGGACGACCTGGAGAAGGAGGAACTATTCACGAGACGTGAGCTTGCTGAGATTGTCAAGCAGCGTCGCAATTTTGAATTCCGGCTCAAGCGGCCGAGCCCACTCAAGGAGGACTACCTTGCCTACATTGACTACGAGACTAAGGTCGACAAGCTGAGGCGCTTGAGGAAAAAGGCAAAGTTGCCTGAGCGGGAAGATAACGAGGAGACGAAGATGAAGAAAAAGAGGAAGAGGAAGTCAGTTTCGGACTTTGCTGGTGTCAGGAGGATTCTTGATATTTATAGGCTTGCTGTCACCAGGTTCACTGGCGATCTTGAACTCTGGTTTCGCTACCTAGACTTTTGTAAAGAGCGACGAAATGGTAGGATCAAGGAGGTAATTGTTAACGGTTCTTGTTACCGAGTGAATTTAACTTAAAAAGTTCAGTGTTGATTACTGCATTCAAACTTGTTTCTGTAGATTTATTTTTATTTCAGATTTGGGATTGTTCTGTAGGTCTTGAATAAGGTAATCGGGTTTCATTCCAAGCAGCCATCTGTTTGGATATATAAAGCTGCTTGGGAATTCGATAACTACTCAAATGTCGAAGCTGCCCGTAATACAATGCTACAGGGGTTGAGATTTTGCAAAAATTCAGAAGATCTTTGGATAGAGTATCTCCGGATGGAACTCACATTCCTTAATAAACTAAAGGCTCGGAAGGTTGCTCTTGGAGAGGATGAGGGTAGTCTGGTTCGTGATAAGATTAGTGCTGATGAGCAACAATGGAAAAGTGAAAACAAAGATTTATACATGCCTCTCAATGAAGAAAGAGAAAATGATGATAATAATGAAGGGTCAGATATCCAAGAAAGCAAGTCAACAAAGAAAGTTGATAAGTTAGAAGAGGTAGGTTTTGGCGTGATAAAAACCATATACAGTGAAGCAGTTAAAGCTCTTCCCTCTAGCTTTACCCTGAGAAAGCGGTTTTTGGAGATCTTGGAACCTATCAACTTGGCTAAGTCTGGGGAAATGCGTGAGGAAGTACTAAGTGACATGAAGAGAGACTTCTCAACAGAACCAGAGTATTGGGATTGGCTTGCTAAATTCGAATACAGTCCTGCAAGTACACAGGAGGAGATGAGTGAAGAAATCACATTTTCTCGTATTGGAAAAGCCATTCAGGTACTAAATGCATGCATCACTGACCAAATCCTGTACTACTGGAATTGTTTATTTAGTCTTCTATTGAGTAATTGGTCAACACCTATGCTTTGTTTTGAAACTGAATTAGATTCCGTTTGTATATATCTTATTCCGTGTGTATATATCTTATGTCCCTATCTATAATTATTTGACGAATAAAATGGATGTCATGCTGTGGGTAGGTCTATGAGGATGCCATAAAAGTTTTGCCTTCAGCCATAATGTTCAAGCACTATGCAAAGTTTCTGATGGGTACTGTAGCTCTTCTAATAGGAGACAACAAGCCTTCTCTAGACAGTCAATCTGCTAGTTATATTTCACGTCTTTTGGGCCTTTACCAAAAGGCTGATACAATCGGGTGCACTAATGAGGAACTTGGCTGTGAGCATATCTCATTTTATTTGCAACTTGGAAGAGTGGATGAAGCTCGGAAACTGGCACAAAATCTTTGTTGCGGAAAATTTCCAAATTCGGCAAAGGTACGGGTATTATGGGCCTCGATTGAAATGAAGCACTTACCAAGGGATCTTATTTCTCCGAGCAAAGATAAGCTGCTATCGATCTTTGAACTTGTAAAAGATGGTTTGACAAGACTGTCCATTTCAGAAGCTGAGAGCTTGTGGGTAATGGTATGTTATCCATACCCTTCAATTTGATGAACTCCAACTATGACTGTAATTACCAACTGTGAGAAATTACCAATTATCTTGGTGAGAACAGTTTTAATGTTACCCCATATTGCAGGCCCTTAAATTCTTTGCCATTCAAAAACATTATTTTGACATGTTGGTTGAGGTTGCTGTTACATCGTTAATTGAATATCGTGGCAGTGACGAAGGATTTTCCCTCTCTTCTGTTATTGTTAATTTTGTTCTTCAAAAAGATGGAATTGCACATGCTAGAGAGATGTATAAGCGGTAGGCCCTTTCTTCCATTATTATATTTCATCTTAGATTATGCAGTTTGCCTACAAAGAAGTGTCTAAGCTTGCATAAGTTGAATTTCAGCTTTACAGGCTTACCACGCCCTGGGCTAGTTCTATATAGGACCTGCATTGAATTGGAAACAAACCTTGCAATCAAATGGTGATAAAACTGGTCTTGAAAATGCCCGGAAGTTGTATTTTTCTGCACTACAGACTTACGACCAAGATTCAAGCTTGTGGCGAGATTTCTGGCTTATGGAGACCAAGGTGAGATTTCCTCTGGCTTATGCAAGCATCTCTAGAATCTAGAAAAACTACAATTTCCTTTTGTAACAAGAAGGCTACTTTTCTTTTTCCAGATTGTTTTCTTGGACATAATTAAGCAAATGAATTGTGATTCTGTGAACGACACTATCGTTTTGTTCTAGTTTGTAATCCGATATCAGGACTTGCTTAATCTACTAAGGACCTTATTTCTTTCCTCAAATTTACAGATGGGAACATCAAAGACAGCTTCTGATGTATCTTGGCGTGCGCGCAAGACTCTAAAAGACAGTAGTGCACTTTCGTTGCCAGATTTGTGATATTAGTAATGCAGACTGCTCTTCAATTGTAACTTGTAAGCCTTTGAATTTAGTTGTTTCTTCGGTCAGTATTCATGTGAATTTAGTTTAATAGACAAATAATTCATACTTTTATCTCGTGTCAACGGAATTGAGTAAAATAGTTATAAATTCAGTTTTTACATTAAAAATGTTATTGCCTGAATGATTGCAGCAATCTCTTGCCTTGTGAATAATTGCTCCAGGTCGTCCAACTCCATCAATTTCAATATTCCATGTTCTTGGCCAGTTGAAGGCGATGGAGTGGTGATGTCCGAAGAGAAGAATAGCTAGCATCCCCACATAGCCATCCATTCATTGAACGCTTACATTCTCAACAAAACTTAACTGGGAATTAATACCAGAAATTTCCCTTACTATTTCATCAAGTGCATCTTCATCTTTGAGCATTGCTGTATGAGACACTCCCGGAACTCTGATCGTTTTCAGAGTTTGATTTTTCGTATCGGACCACAGAGATTCATGTGCCAACAGGCTCACCATGTTCACAGTCCCATCTCCATCCCCGTAAACAATCTCAGGCTGCTCATCGAAACTGTTACTTCCATAAACAAAGTCTCTGCCGTCTTCACACCACTTCCAACAACACAAGTAATAGGCACCCCAGGAGCTACCAGCTCCTCCATTAAACCCAAAACCCTAGTTTTATAAGGATGAACACCTTCTCGAAATCCAATGTCGTCAAGAAATCGGGGAACATCAGAGGCCGAATATGTTGCATTTGGGGTGATCACAAGCAGGTTTTTTGGACCGAATATTTCAGGATTCGGCATCAGCCAAAGGTTGCTCTCTGAGCTCCTTTGCTCCCCCCTTACCAGCAACGGATCCACCAACGGGACTCCTAGAGTGTTTCCTGAAGCAAACGTAAGCATTTCATCCACAGTGCCACCCCACGGCGCGCAGAGTGCAACCAAGTGTTTGATGAATTGTCGCCGCCAAGACAGCGGGTTTCGGTTAAGGAGTTGGAGAGCAAAGAGGCCACCTAAGCTGTGTGACACAAGTATGACTGGCTTTCCTCCATTGGAAGTGCTTGCATTTTCTACCAAATGTGTTAGGTCTTGTAAAAACTTGGAGCCGACGCGGCATGGGTGGCCTTCTGGTGCCAAACCATATCGAAAATCGTATGGAGCTCCGAATAGGGTTTCATCATTGACATATCCAATCTTCTCCAATGATTCCACTAATGGTGCCATGTATCCTGTGATGTGCCTATATATATATATAGCTAGCCACTATTAGTGCAAACACAACTAATTTTAATTTGCATAAATATATACCATCTAGATTCTTAAGGGTGTGTATACACCTCCCATAGAATTTTTTTTTTTTGACTTAGTCAAGGGTATCCCAAAGGCTTAGGCCCAAGACTAATCCCTCCGGTGCATGTGAATTGCTCCAATTGTGCATTGCAGCACAGGGTCTGGCCACTTTGACAGCTTCGGGGTTCGAAGCCTAGGTTGGGAGCACACCCAACTAGGCAAGAACTATTAGGCCACTTGCAGTAGTTACCTCCCATAGAATTCTATGGGAGGTTATGTTTTTAAAACATAATTCTAAAACATAACCTCCTATAAAATTATGTTTTGCCAAATTTACCACTTAAAGACTATTTTTAGTGTGAATGTACCGCATAGCGCATACATGAGTAATTTTTAGGTAAATTTTCGCCACTCCATGATTTTAAATGTTTAGGTTAATAACTGTGTTGATTAAAGCTAATCGGGACAACAAAATTGTTGTGTTGAAGTTATTTTGTTTTTGTTGTTCCCACGAGCTTTAATAAACGCTATTCTTATTTTCAAACGTTTATGAGTCATGGAATGACGAAAATTTCCACTTACATGACAAATAATGTGTTTCAGTGGGATTAGATAATGTACATTCACATTTAAAGTTGAGTCTGGACGGTAAATTATGACAAATAAACTTTTGGACGGTAAATTATGACTAATAAACTTTCTAGTGTTATTTGTGCACACCCGCAACAACCTAAGTGGTTTCATCTTAGCAATTTTCCTAAACTATAGTATCTTATATCTAAGATGTTATATTATTAGACCGTCAATCTAAGTAACCAATCAATCATTCTTTAGATTCTAAACCTTCAAACAAGTATAAATTCATCAGTTCTTAAAACCATTTGCTGTAAAAAATGCAGAAGGGCACCTAGTTATGAAACAACACGAAGTTATAGCTTACTTGAGACGGGGATCAAGGTAGAGAAGTGACTCAGTGGAACCAAAGTGAGGGACCCTAGTCTGGACCCCAGGGGCATTGTGGTAATCATCCGAAACTGCGTCGTAATAAAGCGTCATCCGCTGAGCAAAACAGCTGGTGAACGGAGCAATGAGGACGGTCGGGTCGAACCACAGTCCTGAACCAGCCGTCCTTCTTCTTCTGAAACGGGTACCAACGGTTGCATAACAGACCGGAGGGCTTGTACTCGTTGGTTAACCGGGCTTCCAGCTGGTTCCCACCATTCCCAGGTATTAAGATCAGAGGGTGGAGGTTGGTAGTTCCTGCCTGACACTTATACAGCATCAAAACCATTGATGAGAACACCAGCAACAGTTTCAATCCTGGTGATGGCTTCATGATTTGGTTCTCTGATCTGATGTTTTGGATTTGGCTGTCATCATGTTTGGGACCTTGGGTTGTAGATAATGTGCAAGTATCTTGCTCTGCTACAAGTTTGTGGTTAAGAATGAGATACGTAATGCATGCATATTCATCTTGTTTGGGCGCATAGATAAAGATATTTATAGTGGGGCATGATACATCACTATTTTTAGTCTCTTATACGCTTGCGTTGAATTTTAGCTATTAGTTTTATTTGATTTTTCAATCCGATGGCTAATAACAAAGAGGGGTCTGAAAAAAGTTTAAAAAAGTGTGTGTGTCAGATTAAAAATCTTAAGTTCAATTTTTCTTGCACTGAAATTTTAGATGATTTTTCTTTTCCTCTCTTTTTACTATTAAAATTAGGCATACTAGTTCAAACTAGTTCGTATCCCTTTTACCAAGTTTAAACAAATTTGAAATATCATTTGTACATAGATTTCAAAAACTATAGTCGAACTAGTGGCGCGTTTATTAATCCGTAATCAAATTGAGAGGAATTAGATTGAGGAGAAATTGGATTGAGAGGAATTGAAATGAGGTGGAATCAGAATCAGATTCTTGTTGAAGTTGTTTACTAAAACTGTCTGGAATCGGAGTAGGAATGATGTTGAGTCCATATAAGCTGTTTACTAATTCACTTCAATCGGAATGAAAACTAGGTTGATTACTATATTGCCCTTACATAAATAAATTATTTTCATACTAATTAATTAATATAAATTCTTAATTAAATTTATATAATAAAATTCATCTATATAAGCATATATAAATAGCTTTTATTTATTTATTAAAGATGGCAAGAATGATGTTGAGTACATATAAGTTGTTTACTAATTCACTTCAATCGGAATAAAAATTAAGTTGATGACTAAATTGCCCTTACATAAATAAATTATTTTCATACTAATTAATTAAATAAATTGATATAATAAAATTATCTATATAAAAATATATAAATAGGTTTTTTTTTATTTATTAAAAATGACATAATGAGTGTCAAATGAAGGGCAATGTTGGGATAATAAGAAACAAGTCAGGGCATAATAGGAATAAAAGATGCATTCCCGATTCTCTTACCCTCAGGGATACCTCACAAAACTTGGGAATCCCTTTCCTCCAATTTTAGGAATTGGATTCCTTGTTTCGTGTGGGCTCCACCACTTTTTGGATTTCTTAAAATTTAGTAAACACCAGAATACTCTATAATCAGAATTCAATTCTCTTTTTTATTCCAATTACCCTTACGTAAATGTGTCATGGATTCATTAATTAGGAGTCGCGCTTGTAACACAGAGTCCTTTTGCAGTGGCTCATTGTAAAAATGTACAAAAACTCACGTCCAACAAACGGACCCAAGACAGATGAAAAGCCCAAACCTACGCCCATGACAGGCTTTGGAGGGAAAACTCACACTAGGCATCACATTTAGCATGTGCAACCGACCAGAAGCAAACCGAGACCGAGCCCAGTCACTGCCTTTAATCCGCCACTGACTACTATCCAGGTGTCACGAAGAGAAGACAGCAATAGACAGATGAAGGGCTCCAAATCGAATGAAGATCCTGAGATCCTTAAATCGTGTCTGTTTATCGTACATGGTGCGATCAGAAGTCATTTTAAATATTTTTACTTAAAATTAAATATGAATAGTATCTGACGAAAATTGACCGCACGATATACAGTAAACAGATATGATTTGATGAGATTTGATGATCCCCATAATCCTTACAAAGAGTTGAGGAACTGGAGAGGATCCTCATCCTCCAAATCTTACGTGAAAGCAGAGGATGACGTCATGATCTAATCGAAGGGCAGTCGCCAGCACACTTGCTTCTATATAAGAGAAGAAGGAAAACCTGGAAAGGAGAGTTCATCAGACAACCCTAAACTTAGTAGTATTGTTCCCTATCCTTAAACGATCCACCAGAGGCCTTGGAGTAGTGAGACCTGCACCCCACCTCCTCAACCAGACCTCTTTCCTATGTATTAGGCCCAAGGCTTCCTTTTCTCTTTCATATAACATCTGTAACGCTATGCAAGTATTCAACAATACCATAATGAACGTGGCCGATTATGGGCGTATCACTATATATCTTTATGTCAACATTACTACTAATTTCTACCACAATAGCCCTCTACTATAGTGGTGGAGAGAAATGTTGTATTTGTACTACGGCGTGAGTTCAGCTCCTTAATCTAACATCTAATCTAACAAATCTATCATTTGACCAAAAAAAAAAAAAAAATAAAAGCATTATTACTAAACCCAAAACCCCTTGGTATTCACATCCTAAAGCCTCCTAAAAACCACTAATGTTAACCTTACCAATCTAAGCGTTAGCAATGCTTACTTGCACACAAATCATAATTTAACACATATGCATAAAGTTTTCTTTGTTAATTTCATTGCTTTGATTTTTTTTTTTCATATTGAGACTGAGCTATGATTTTCAAATAAGATAGAATAACTCATTATAAAGAATTTTTCGTCGATCACCCCAGAAGTAAACTTTTCAGTATGAGGGTCATACTACCAAATAGTGTCACTTATTAATAATATAACATGTGTATCTACTCGTTAATATTATACATGCATTAAACTCATAACATATTAGTCAAGTTATTAATTTTTATTATAATACATGAAAGTTAACAACATTTGGCGCGTTGTGACGTATTAATACAATGTGCTTATGCATTGAACAAAAAAACAGTGTGCTTATAGTTGAAGTTTATGTTTAGGCAGTGATTGTTGACTTTCGAGTGGAGTTATACCTAAATCTTATTTTGAGCCAGTTATATTGTGCTTTCCTGCCGATATTTGGTACGAATTGTGAAATTTTGGGCCTTGAATTCTTCTAATTACGTAATAATTTTCTCAAGTATTTAGGAAACTTGCCACGTTATAAAATACAAACAAGACTTGTCGCATGATATTTTAAAAGTCAAACTTTGGTGCGCATGCTAATTACAAATGTGACTACTGCTTGCAATAATGTAAGCTATTTTTTGAGAAACACACAATACATGAACGAGTACCCACAAACAATGGGCGCCAGTAAATTGGCTTTTTTATATTTTATTTACTTATTTTGGATATTTAATTCTTATTTAAAAAAAAAACCTTAATTTTCAAATTTTTATGTAAAATAAATTCATTGAAAAGGTCATTAACATCTTTACGTGGGATGGGGTTTGTTTCCTTCATTTTTTTTTAAATTTTTATTTTTATTTTTTCCACTTTGATCTTGTTTTTTTTAAAAATTGTTTGTTTTGAAAGTTGTAAGAAGGGAAGGGTTTTGTTAGCATTAGTAATGTTTCATTAAATCTGTCTTCTCTCTTTATATAGAGAATAAAATAAATATGTTGGCCAGCCAGTCTTTGGAAACAGCCCTAGTGCGTAACGCTTCTATGGATATATAGACCCTAATCCTATACTGTAGATTATAGACTTGATTACAATAAGTACTTGTAAGTATTAAAGTTAGTCCAGATATAATTACGTGATTTACTAATTCATGTGTATAATATGATAATGATAAAATACATACAATAAGCGCCCACAAATTCAATAAATATGTTGGCCGACCGGCCTATGTATTGCCTTTATGTTGAATATTTCATGGATAGATATCATCCAGTAGAATAAAAGGTGAGTTTTTACTTTTTAGGGTGTAAGTCGTATAATCACGTAATGTAAGAGAGAACCAGTCCATACTGTGACAGAGTCAAATGTCTGCACGGCATTGCTGATGAGAACACTACTAGAATTGAATTTGACCGAATTAATTTTTTTATTAAGTTGATTATCATTTACACACAGAATTGCCAAAAATGAATAATAAAACTTATTTTTGCAAGAAATGAGGGTGTAGTTGGTTTTGAACTTGACCACTGAGCTACTATCTCCTGATTTTATTTATTTATATTTAATTAATTAAATAAATAAAACTTGTTCATAGAGGGAAAAAGAATGTTTAAAAATTATATATTCACCAAGCACAAACGTAAGATAAAAAAATAAATAATTAAGAAGTGTAATGTGGAAAAAGTAATAAACTTAAACCTTATTTCTCAATTTTGGCCTAATTTATCTTTTCAACAAGTTGAACTCACCCACATCAGCTCTTTGTTCTTATCTATAAATTTCTTTATTTTGAATTTTATTTAATTCCCCGATCTCGTGGGCTTTGAAAAGTCGAAACTCACCACCTTCTTCTTCATATGCTGCTCAAGTTTCAAAGATGTTATTAATTTCTAGCTGACCCCTCTACACAACCAATTTATATAAAATCCATATTTCCTCACATCACACCCCTCCTCCTCCTCCTCCCCCTCCTCCTCCTTTTTCTGATATTTTTCTCCATAAACCTCATAAACCTGATTTTCGCAGCGGAAAATTTCGGGTCCTCCAACGAATAGCCTACAGTAGTTTTGGTGTCACTTAATTTGTGCACAACATGAGGAAGACCAAGGTGAATAACCAGAACATGTTCATGAAAATCATCACGGTGCCCATCAGAGCTCTGAGCAAGGCCAAGAACTGTTACGTCGGCAGCATCACGGACGTGGGCGGCAGATTGACCTACGGCGGTACCCCTGGAGGATTTAGTGGTAATCGCGGTCGAGGCCTGCCCAAGAGCTACAGCGTTAAGACAACTTCTTCTAGGTCAAGGGAAGATGATGATTATTCAGAGCTTATTAGGGCTGCGTCAGCAAGGAACTACGAGGAAAGGATGGACGTGAACATGATCATGCAAGAGCACATGAAGCGATCGGCTACAACCACGACTATGCGATCAGTTATGGGATCGAAAATCGGATCGTATAATCGGGCTGTTTTGCCAAAGTGCACCGTGGCCATGGGGAGGATTGATGAGGATGCGCCTGAGGATTTTGATGAAGGTGCTGCTGGTGTCGAGGGTGAATTGTACCCTAGAAGCAGAAGCTATGCTGTTAGAAAGAAAAGTGCTTTTGCGGTTTGATTGTTGATCGAACGCATCCAATCAGTCGAATTCAAGACCTGCTGATATTTAGTTGTACAGTGAAGCCAACAAATTACAAGAGGACGGACAATTCTTTTGTGGTTTTGATTCAATTTAGAAGCGCTGTCATGATTGAAGCGGTTTTGTTTTGTATATATGCATTTTCCTTTCCTTTTCGGATGTATA